AAAAAAAAAAAAAAAAAAAAAAAACAACCAAAAGTAATCTCAAATTATCACTCTCAGAGCCAATTAGATAACACACCAATCACACTTGCACACCAAGAAAAAGAACAAGCGACACAAAACCTATAATCTTATCATTATATATTGGGTCAGAAGGCCCATTAGATCGAAAGCAAAAAAAAGTATTGAGAGATATGACGTTATCCAATCCGCCACCGTAGGGAGAAGGACTCGTAATAAAAGTTAAAACGTGCATACGTCTTAAGTAACTAAAGCCTAATTATCAGTTACTCCCTCAAGTTACACCTCTTTCACTCAAAAAACCCTAGATCAATCTATCTTCTCCTTTTAGGAAGCTTCCCTTAATTAACACACATCATCACTTTAACTAAGTTTACTCTCCATTCTCTTTATTCACTTCAGCTTCACCGTGAAGAAGACGTCATTGCTAGATCTGTACTCCTTCCACTCTTTAAAACCTTCACATTCACGGTGATTCTTCCTTACTCCATTTAATAAAAAAAAAAAAAAATCCAAAAGTCATCTACTTTCTTCATGGGTTTTGTCTGAATTACGTTAAAGTCTAGTTTTTTCTTCCAGTATTTACTCTGTCATCTTGTCGGAATTCTGCAGATCTGTCTGAAACAGAGCAATGAGTTCTGTCTGATAACGAAACCAAAATTTTTTTTTCTCCCCTTTATTGTTTATACCAATGGCAATGCCACCTGGCAATGTTGCTTCATCACCCATCGCCGGAAACTGGATCCCGGACGGGAGAGACGGGTTTATCTCGTGGCTTCGTGGGGAGTTCGCTGCAGCTAACGCTATCATCGACTCTCTCTGCCAACATCTAGTGGCGATTGGGGATCACAACGAATACGAGAGGGTGGTCTCAGCCATCCAACAACGTCAATCAAGCTGGTCTCAAGTTCTTTATATGCAGCATTTTTACCCTATTGCTGATGTTTCTTACAATCTAGAGCAAGCTGCTTGGAAGCGGCAACAGAAGATGCTTCCTCAGAGGTGTTACAATTCTGATCAGATTGGGAAATTTGGAGGAAGGAGATCAGGGAATGGATTTAACAAGCATCATCATCATCATGGTGGTGGTGGTTACAGAGGAGCTGAAACAATGGTGAGGAACGGGCATCTCTTGGATACGGATTGCCACAAGATTGAAGCTAAGCTAACGAGTGGTGATAAGGCAGTATCTGTTGTTGAGGAGAAGAGAGGTAATGAAGTTGGCTTGCTTGTAAGAAAAGTAAACTTCTTGGCTGTTAATTTTAGTGCAATGTATATTGTGCAACATGTTGATAGTGGAAGCTTTGGGTTTTAATATGCAGTTTTTACTTGTTTATAGTCTCTAAATTAGTGAAACATAGTTGTTACTCTTCTTCTAAAGGTACTTTGACTTGTTGTCAGCTTTTTACATGATGTTTGAACTTCTTGAAGTGTTCTGATCTGTGTTGTTTTTTTTCTTTCAGATGACAATCTCAGTTCTGAGCAGAAGCAGGATGAGAAAGAGAAAGAGTGTCCTGCAAGCATGGCAAAGACTTTTGTTGTCCAAGAGATGTATGACGCGAAAATGGTGAGCTGGATCTTTTCAATATCTGTTTATACTTTACTCATACAGTACTAAGATCTGAGTTTATTGGTGTGTTTAGGTTAATGTTGTAGAAGGACTGAAGCTATATGATTCAATGGTCGATGCAAAGGAAGTTTCTCAACTCATTTCTCTTGTAAACAATCTTAGAAACGCTGGAAGAAGAGGTCAACTTCAAAGTAAGAAACTCTTTATGTCCACTGCAAATATAATGTAACTTGTTTTTAAGTCGTTGATTCATGACCAAACAGGTGAGGCATATGTGGGATATAAACGGCCAAATAGAGGACATGGACGATAGATGATCCAACTAGGTCTCCCCATAGCTGATACCAGGCCTGATGATGAGAGTATCAAAGGCAATTTCTTTGAAAACATTCTTTACTTAAATTTCTGTTGATTGGTTAACATGAGATATTTTTTTTTTTGTTATACAGATAGAAGAATAGAGCCAATCCCATCGTTTCTTTCAGACATCACTGAACGTTTGGTCTCAAATCACATCATACCTGTGAAACCAGACGCCTGCATCATTGATTTCTTCAACGAGGTATATAAACTGGTTGCTAAGTTACTTAAAACCCCTTAAAAACTATTTGTGACTCTCTCTATATTTATATTGTGAAACCGTAGGGAGATCACTCGCAGCCTCATATGTTTGTTCCCTGGTTTGGACGACCCGTTGGGATCTTGTCCTTGTCGGAATGTGATTTCACATTTGGAAGAGTCGTTGTCTCTGATCAACCTGGAGACTACAAGGGCTCTCTCAAGCTGTCACTCTCTCCCGGGTAAACTTATTCAAGTTTCACTAAACTCTGCAAAGTGTTGATCTTTCAATCAAAATTACATTTGGTGTTTTGAAACAGATCGGTTCTTGTGGTGGAAGGCAAATCAGCAGATCTTGCCAAGTTTGCAATTGACTCAACCAGAAAGCAGAGGATTCTCATCACCTTCACCAAATCTCAGCCGGGAAACGGACATAACTGGGGTCCACCGCTTAGCAGATCACCGAACCATCACAGCCGTCACTCAAAACATTATCCTGTTATCCCGACCACCACTGGTGTCTTGCCAACACCGTCTCACCGTCCACCAAACAACGGAGCTGTTCAATCTCCTCCGCTTCCTCCTCCAATGCCGCTCCCAGGTGGTGTCGTAACCACCGGAGAAACGAGCTGGCCACTGCTACCTCATAGAAGACACCAGTCACCACCACAGCCCCGAGTGCCCATCCTTGGAACTGGTGTCTTCCTCCCACCCGGTTCAGCTCAAGAACAGGTAGTACAAGGCTCCACAGAGATTCCAATAAGTCTGCAGAAAGAAAGATGGAAATGAAGATGAAAGAGGAAGCTGCAGAGGAGTGCAATGACAATAGCGGTGGTAAACAGATCAGATAGCTGAAAGATTCTGAGAGAAACGAGCGAGGGAAAGATGAAATCGGGAGCTGCAGTTTTTTTTTTAAACTGTAAAATGAGCGGCAAATTCTATGGAACGTGGCCGTTTTTAATTTTTGCCACTTCGGAAATTGTTTTCTTAGGAAAAAGTAAGGAACAAGGCAAAACAATTAGTTTATCATTTTCCATTAATATTTAGTTATTTACATATTTATTTTCAAATATAAATTTGAATTGAGTAAAAATATGTTCTTACAATCATATGTGAGGAGATACATTTATTTTTATTAATTAGGAGGTAATCCGGTGGCCGTAGTCAACTGACTAATCTCCTGAATCTGGAACCAGTCCGCGTCTCTACCCTCTAAGGAGTTTAAATCATTTTGTGGACAGCTTGTATCGAACCCGACTCTGTATTGAGGCTTTATGCTCCTTCAAGACCATTAGGCCAACTTGTGCTGGTTTAATGTGAGGAGATACATGTCTTGTTAGTTTACTAAATCATTTGCAATGATTTTATCCTCAATCCACAACATAGGGTCGTATTCATGCCAATTCCTGTAACCACATATTATGTTTTTATTGTTTGATCATATAAATCCAAACATTTTTTTTATATATTCTATCTATAACATGATTAAAGAGAATCTGAGCATAGGACAAAAGATCTGTGACAGAATCATATCTAAATAATCTTTATGGGTGAGAATCGTACCCAGTTGTGTCCCTACAACTACCGTTTACACATGGTTGATCCGGGTAAACTTGTATATCAAGTTGTATTGTATGTGTTAGATTATAGTATGGAACCGTTAGAGAAGATGAAATTACCTAAATGAAAGTAAAATGACTAATTTAAAGAAGATCAGTGAATTCTTTTTTTTTTTAATGAATCTAATTAATTCAAACAATTTTTTTTACATGGTGTGTTAATTTATCCTATCGTTTTTGCTGGAAAAAAAAAAGATTATATATGAATACTTATCGATATGGCTTTCACAAACGGAATGCACCCATCTGTTGCATGCTTGATCAGTGGATTATAAGAGTCTGAGATTATACGTTTATATACAAAAGTTTTATTGATTATTATTTCGGGTTGATAGATACCGTTATAACGTGAATTGAAAATTCAACAAAATATAAAATTAATACATTGCATCATAATTCATAAAACAATTGTGGTCACGACTCAATTATGATTAGGAAGCGAAATAAAGCGCATCCTTGTAAGTCTTCCAATGATGCAAAACGTTTCCATTAACATCATAAAAGACGGCACGCAGTTCAACCTCCGAAAGTTGAACCGACATGAATCCTTGTCCGTCATAGTAAAACTTCAGCTCTTGTGGATCCAAGTGGTTCACGTCACCTTTCCAAGCCTTTGATCCACCACCACTCGTCATGAATTGTATTTTGCTATATGCAACATAAAAATGTAGTTTAGTGATACTATAATAAGCTAGATTTTGTTTTGTTCATATACACGATAAAATAATTGGTTTTCAATAAAAATGAAAAAATGAATTATGATCTTAAGATTGATTACCTCTCCACGCTGCTTATGTGTTCTAAGCAATGATCATGTCCGTTTACGTAGAGATCTACTTCATTCGCCTAATAAATCAAGGGGAAAAAAAACTAGTTAGATCCATATTATCCATTGGTGCGAACATTATTCACGTGCATGTAATGAAAACTTCATAATAATTAATTAATTCGGTACGTGAAGAATAGGCAAAAGCTGCTTCTCCAATTCAATAGTGTTCCTGTGGTGGCCTGCGCTTTTGATCGTGTGGTGACCAATCACTATCTTCCATTTTGCAGCTGACTCTTTCAATGCCACGTTCACTTCCTATAGTTACCATTATTTAGAGCTTTGGTTAGTCACACTCATAAAATTAATATCTACGAACTACAAAGAAATTTCATTAGCAATTTTTTATCCTATGTGTTAAACAAGTAATTAAATTACCTCTAAGAGATATTTCAGATATGCCTCTCTGGGTAACACGCCTCTCCAGTCATAGACATGCTTATTTGGTTGGACAAAGTATTTATCGACAAATGGTGTTGTGTCGATGAACAAAAAATCGACGATCTCTACAGCAAGTACAAAGTATATATCTCAATAAAAATAAAAACAAAGAGTTAATAGAATGTTAATGACTTTTTTTAAGAAAAATATGCCTTACCAGCATTAACAATGAAAGATCTCATGCAAACCCATCTGTTGTCCAAAGCCCTGAGCACAGGGCTAAGTTGTGCCTCGACGTCACCTCTATAGTCATGGTTTCCTAAAACTATAGGTCAAAGTAGATATAATTTACACAATGGATCACATATCGTGGGAGAATTAAACTTTATGATTAGTGATTAAATGCATAGATTAACTTTTAAACAGAGTTTTACTAGTTACTTACCAGTATACCAAGGCTTTTGCAAGCTCGACGCGTTATAAATGTTGGTAAAAGAATCTTGAAATGCAGGATCGTCTAAGCCAAGCAACCCATTGTCGTAAAAATTATCTCCGGTTGAAATCACAAAATCTATATTTAACTTATCTCCAACCTCTCCCATCTGATAAAGTTTGTAACGAACTAATTTGGTTAGTTATTACAAATTTGAAACAACTGTGGAAAGTATTATTCGATTGCTCACATAAACGAAAACGTCCTGGAATCACATGAACATTGTAAGTTAACTAAGCCTCTTTACTTTTGACCAAAAAAAAAAAAACTAAGCCTCTTTACAAGAAAAAAACATTGCAAGTTAAAACAGGTTTCGTCATAAGTGACGAAGACAGCCATTTTCGCCATAATTGGCTAAGACTTTATATTTCCTTTTTTTTAAAAAAAAAGAGAGACTTTATATTTCTTTAAAAGGAATAGACTTGGTTTTGAAGCCTCCACGTTCCTTTGTTTTCTCCTTGTAAGAACATGTTTATTGGGGAATTCTTAGTACATGATTCTTAGCGAAATATAAAAATTCGTCTCTTAACTTTTAACTAAAAAAGTTAAGAACCGACTCTTAAAACCCCGTCTCTTAATTATTAACTAAAAAAATTATGAACTGACTCTTAAATATCTTGCTCTTAGCTTTTTTAGTTAAAAATTAAGAGATGTGTTCTTATATTTCGCCAAAAACTCCGTGCTAAGAATTCCCCAATAAACATACATGCTCTTATAGGCATTTTTATGTGATATCATATCACCTTTTTCACCGACCCTCTTTTCTTTTATTGTCATCTGGAAATTTTATTTTCATCTTTTTCTGGCTTCCTAATTTTTACTTCTAGGAAATGTATTAGTTAATTATTAAAAAATCAAATTAGATTTCTAAGCAGAGTAAATATATTGCTATGTTCTTATGCAAAAATCAAAAATTATAGATATATATATATATATATATATATAATATTCGCACTGGGTGGCTGTTTTTTGTTAATTAGGATAGGAAATTGATATCAGGTAAACTGAATATATGGATTTCTAGAATTACTATATATATGATACTCAAATAAAATAATAGAAAATAAATATAAAGTTATGCTATGAATAAGGCAGGATATATTTGTATGTAGAAGGCAAAGTATGTTTGTACAAGTTGGAAGACATAGAAGTCACCTGAAGAGCTACGTTGGACTGATTATAGGAGCCCCCTCTTCCCCAGTCTCCGATGACGAGAAAGCTTACTGTACCATCGGGTTTCGCTGGCTGCAGTAGCCTCTTGAGCTCCGCCGTGGAACTATGGGCGAAAAAAATAAAAATCAAATAAAAAACATGAAATATGAAGTTTATTGGTTTGTATTTTAAAGAAGCCATTGGGAGACTGGAAAAGAAGAAGCTAAAAGAGGAAGAAGATAATGAGTGGTTGGTTCTTTGTGTTTAGCTTCTCTTTATAAGTAAGCTAAATTGGAGAAGAGAAACATATATAAAGTTAAGTAATCTATAATTTTATAAAAATCTAATAATTTTGAAAAAAAAAAATCTTTATGTTTTGAATAGAGACAATGGGCATGTGCATACCAACATTTGATTGAAATAAACTATTCTCCACGTTTCTCATTTATTTAAATGGATTGGTTTTGACATTTACATTTGAAGACTATATAATACGTTGTGTATCCACAGTATCAAGTATAACCAATACACGAAAGACACGATGCCATCAAAACTTAAAACAAATCGTAGTGATCTTCCAGTAAAAATGTACTTTTTGCTTGTTTTCTTTCAAATCCAATCAAATTGTTATCGAATGTAAATTTCACAGTAGAAAAGCTTATATTAAAACAATCTAAGATCTACATATTCTACTTAAAAAAAAACCGTGATTTATGAGCTGTGACAAGATTCGAACATATGAATAATGATACATATATATAAATTATTTATTACAAATTCGATTTACCAAAACGTTAATTAGCTTGACTCGACAAATACATAAGTGTGGGCGAAGGCTATAAATATACGTATTGTTAGTCTGTCTTTTCGTTGCTGTTAGCTGTAGGCCGTAGCCGACAAAATCCACAATCCATTGTTTCCCAACTTGTAGGGACTTTACCAACATGAACCACAATTTCATTTATTATTTTTTTGGTACTGTTGAGCCACAATTATTGTTGAGTAGAATACTAATACTAGTCATTGTTTTAATTAAATTGAATTTTGAGATAATTGGCTAAAGTGCCCTATTTGGCACCTATAATTAGAGAATTGTCCATGATGTGACAATCACTTTCTTTTGGACCATTTTGTCCTTCTCTACACTCTCTCTCCTCTCTTTGACATCTCCCCTCTTTTTTTCTCTCTTAAATCCCTAATTATTTTACAAATCTCTATCATTCTATATACAATTAAATTTTAAATTTCATTATTTTTTCATAAGTGGCTTTGAATCCTTAATTTTGACCTTTTTTTCTCTCCAATCCCTAATTATTTTACAAATCTCTATCATTCTATATACTATTAAATTTTAAATTTCATTATTTTTTTCATAAGTGGCTTTGAATCCTCAATTTTTTGATGATATCAATTTTCTGGGTTTTAGATTCGACGTCGTGTTAGCGGTTAACAAATATTGTAGACGTTAACAGAAGTGTTAGGTGTTAACAATTATTTTTACGCTTCGCGTTAATAAATGTGTTCGCTGTTAACAAAATATTGTAAACGTTAACAGAAGTGTTAA